ACCCCCCCCCCCCCCTCCTGCCTGCAGTGCGATTGCCCGCATCAGAACACGTGGCACAGCAATGCCTGCGTTCCGGTCCAGTGCGATCTCAAAATATAGTGCATGTTTTTTTGTGATGGAACTGGACTGGAACGCAGGTATTTCAATGGCATGCATTTTGGTTTGGGGGCGATCGCACAGTGAGCAGGGGGGCGTGTCTGTGGTGCCATTGACTTGAATGGCACCGTCATGCCCCCTCCCGCCCCAGGACGGAGGGAGGTTTCCACTAAACGTGCCGGAACGCACTGGAGATGGTGTGAAACAGCCCTGAGGGCAGGGACTTATGTGAATGTGCTGTGTGTAAAGTGCTGTGTAAAATTGTTGGCACTATATAAATACCAATAATAAAAAAATAAAATGTCTCCGCCCCAGAGCTACAGCGGGTATATGTTGGTAGTGGAGTTAACACATGCATGCACATGGATGTACAACCCTGACCACACACAGTCTGCATTTGGGTTGTATGTGTATGCGCAGATTTATTCAACTACCCGCGTATAGCCGCATCCTGTAACTGATTTCTATTGGCGGCTGTCTGCAGCCCCGGCTCCTGGGCAGGGAAATACGTCTGATTTTTATGTTGCATGGCCCCAGACGCCTTTGTGCATGACCCCTTTAATTCCAAACTGCTCTCTGCAAAAAAATCCGACACACACACCACAAAGGTCTTTTACAGGAAAGGGAAATGCTGCGTCTCAGGAAGTCTTTTTCATTGGACGCTTGTCGAAAAACAGGAATTCTTCTTCATTGGATACCTCTGTTGTCGCTCCAAAACCCTTCAAAACGCGCGTGCAACGCGCGTTTCTAATGTAAAAAAACGCACATGAAAACGCACCAAACTCCGGGAAGAAAACGCGCGTGTGACGCGCTTATGCAATACGCACAGGTGTGAACCAGGCCTAAGGGTTCTGTGCATCAAATAAATGAAAGTGTCCCACCACATTGTGTTAATTGATGCAAGATAACGGTGGTCCATACACACCACCTCTCCTCTCATTCCTGCTCGCTGTCCGCCCTCCTCGCTACAGTATTTATGCCACTGTGGTGATAGTTTACAATTAGTTTTAATTTAGAACAATGCCACTTGTGCCTTGATTATTTTGCTAGATGCAATCAAACTGTTGCTTATCACTTTTAAAGTGATTTGGTTGTGTTGGTGCAGCACAGAACTATGTACACTAAAAGAAAATGATGCATTTCCCTTACTTAATCCCCCCTCCCCCAATGTTCAGAGCTGCAACAAATTTGAGCATTGCCTACAGTGATCTGGCAGTGTATGGGTTAACCTAAGACTGATAACAGGAATGCAAGTAATATTTTGGAACACAGTCTTTGTAAACATGAAGTTATTTTTATAATGTTCCCTGTTGGTATGATCCTTTTATTGTGTGATAGTGATTTCGGCGTCACTGGATCGTTCAGGCAGATTCATCATCCAATCTGCCATTGATATGCGCAATGAATCTGCCTACATGAGCCCTTTCTCCTGCCAGATGGTTCATGCAAGGCGCATGCGCAGAGCCGATCGTAGCTTGCCAGCTTCGCTCTACCCCACTCGAAGAAAAGGGAGGAGCTTCCTCACTATCACAATTGCTCCGCCCCCTCTCCTCAGCAGCCAATCATGTCCTGCACCGTCATCCTCACCCCGCCTTTTCTATTGGCGCAGCATTTGAAACTGGCCCGGGAGAGGAGTGACGTGCTGCATGAGAAGCCTGCTGTCCATGGGGGGGGGGGAGAGAGAGGCAGACAAACGGACAGGTAAGTACTGTGTGATAGTGGCCGGGAGCACAGGGGTTAATGCTGTAGTGGAGGGTGGGCTGTCTAGGCTCCGATGGGGGGAGCGGCGCAGAAAGATAAACAGATGGTGGGGTGACTGGAGGGGGATGGGAAGGGATGTGTCTGTTGTATTGGATTGCAGATAATGGTAGTAGAGCATTGTAATGTTCCTTCCATTCTTCTATACACAGATTATTTGCTGGAATTTTCAGCGGCAAGTCATTGACAAGCACATTAGCAATGCTCCATCTGTGCTGTCATAGTGCGGTATTGTGATTGGTTCAGAAAATTAAACGTTAAAGGGGAGGGGAGGCTGAAAAAGAGGACAAAGAAAAATAAATCCTGCAATCCTTACCTTCTGTCCATAACTGCATGGTCTCACAGGACAACATTGCCCCAAAGTGGTGGTGCTGTCAGCCCTGCTCTCTGCAGTACTGCTGACCATCAACCACTGCTGCAGGTAGAAGAAGAGGAGGAGGACCCCAAGACATCACATAAGCAGTCATAGTATTCCTGGTATGTACAAGGAGAATATTTCTTAACATAGGTCCAGTGGGAGAGTTTTTTAAAAGGGAACTTTGGCCCAACCTGTTTTGGCTATAGTGCTCTTTAGGGTCACAGCAGGACATTTACTATATCCTCCTGTGACCAAAACTCAGCATATAGCAGGCTGTTGCCTGCTATATGCTGACCGCGCCACAGCCGGGTAAGATCCAGACAATATCAGGTTGAACCCCACCACCTGATTGACAGCTGCCTCTATAGAGGCATAGCCAGCTGTGGTCACCTCCTCCCCATCTGTCCCTCCAGTCAGCACTGAAGAGGGGAAACCCATGTGGGGAGCAGTGACTGACAGTCACCGCTCACTGCAGGGAGAAGATCAGCAGTATGTGATCACATCGGTTCTCGATCTCTAGAGCCGAAGTGTGACAACTTCAGTGTCGTGTGTCGGCTCTAATTATGAGTGTAGACATTACCCATAATTCTCCTTTAAGTGGAAATGTGCTTCAACTGTAAAGCATGGCAGTTCACTCATTGTGAGTGTTAACAGGTACATATTGTTTCTATATTGATTGTCTCCATTTATAATATGTAAAATCTAATTTTAGGTTGTCAGTGAAAATTGAGCTCAGTCAGTAAAAATGTCCTCCTTTTTTTTGTCCGTAAAGAAGTTGTGTGTTGGCAACCCTGCAAAGCGGCATGATTAGTAACGCCAGACTGCTTTTCTCTTCCTCCCCATATACTGTGCCGCAGTCCGCTAACATAACAGAGGTGCGCAAAGTTTAAAGTTGCAGCTGACGGGAAGTTAGCGGTGCCTCAGCAAGGATGTCTAAAGACATAGCGGAGCGCTGCGAAGATGCCATTTCATCTCTGATGCAGGAGATTGCGACACTTAAAGGAGAATACAAGGAAAACCAGAGAGAAATTGCCTTGTTGTCCGAAACGAGCATAAAGAACTCCCTAGGGCCATTCCAGAAAGACAACGGAGAAGGTATTACAACCATTACAAAGAATGTAAATACACAACTTGCCCATGGGGAAAAGGAAATGAAGTTCTTTATAGAAGTCTCCGGGATTGAGATTTTACAACACTTTAAGAAAACAGAGCAGAAAAATGAAAAAGTTGTTCATTCTCATAAATTAATGGGCCGGTGCCATTTTCTACCCTTTGAGTTGACCTTTGTGACAACGGAAATTCAGAGTGAGGCCTGCTGGATGTGTGATGTCACTCAAGTCAACGTCCACATGGATTGTAAGGGCAAACCAGACTTGACCAAGCTGGTAGAGAGAACAGAGGCCACTATGAGTCTACAGGGCTTCTTTAGGACGCTCTCAAAGTATGCGGAATGGTGTGAATTCCGCATGAAGACTTTTGCTCATTTTGAGGAACACTACTCGGCTGCTGTTACACTTCCACATGGGTCCTCTGGAAATTATATGGTACTGGCGAACCCAGAAGTTCCTCAGTGTGAGATGATTCTTGTGTGGGAAATCACCATAAATGAAAGAGGAGCAGTGATACCAATACTGGACTTACTGCCAAAGTTGCCAGAAGAAGCAATTGCTCTTGATAAAAGTGGAGTCCTGGAAGATACTGCACCGGCCTTCAAGAATCTCCTTCAGGTATTCGGAATACAAAGTTCCATAGAGAAAATCATACATTCCTTCTGCTTGGAGAAAGCCACTAGAAGTCCATAGTGTACCTGACCCATAACATTACATTCATCTTATTGTAATATTTTATGTAAAATAAACTTTGTAACTCCTTTTCAGTGTAATAAATATATACGTAAGTCATGGTTTACGTACAATACTTACGGCACAAGTTATACAACATAATGCAACATGGAAATCAATACAGCCCATTAAATTATGTCATGAGACAAATGCAAAAAAAATGTGTTATACTCCAATCAAAACTAAAAATGAAAGTGTATGTAAAGATAGAATGGGGGGAATTCATGAAAATTGGAGGAGACAAAAATCTGGAGCAGTTGCCCATAGCAACCAATCAGCCTCTCTTTTCAGTTTGTTCAGTTAAGCTTTGAAAATGAAAGACAGAAGCTGAATTCCAGTTTCTGTCTGCTCGAGTTTTCATAAATTCCCCCCCATTATGTTAAACAGCTGACATTTCTTTGCCGCCTGTGCTATTGGGGAGATTTCTCTTCACTTCCTGTCCTGTAGGCAAATCCCCCTGTTGGATAGTTATCACCTGAATAAGTATCCCCGTTGGAATTTCCCCTCTATTCCTGTTTTGGTGACATGCAAAACAGAAGGACAGCACCGTTTCCTCTTATGACGTTTATTCAGTGTGAAATTGTGTACAAGATAGAAAAAACTACTCACATGTACACAATGGAGACAAGCGATATATTGAACCATACATGCAGGTCAGAGCCAAAAGGAGTTGACGCGTTTTGGGGGATTTCCCTTTACCTCAGAGCTCTAAGGAGGGGAGAATCAGCCAAAACTTGTCAGCTCATTTGGCCCTGCATGTATGGTTCAATATATCGATTGTCTCCATCATGTACATGTGAGAAGTTTTTATCTTGTATGCGTTTCACATTGAATAAACATTATCACAGGAGGAAAGGGCGCTGTCCTGTTTGTGTTTTGCATGGTCTATGAGGATACTTCCCAGTTGTCTTTGTGGATGGCAGCCTCCTTCAAGTGATTGGTGGTGAAGATGATGGAGGATTATCCAGCAATGGTCTGCTGAGCGCTGTGGATATCATTTAACTTGCTGTTTTGGTGACAACTTCAACTGTTGGGCCACATACAGGTACTCATTTTGGAGGCCCAGACTGGTACCTGTATGTGGTAATCCCTGCAATTATAATATTCAGGATTTTTTTTTTCTCTGTCGTGCCTTTTATATATTTATTTTCCCACATGTACATGCAGAAAAATCTGTCCAGCGAGAGTGTCAGTTCCAGAGACTGGGACAAACTATTAAACTGACACGGCTGCTTACAATAAACATCGTCTGAACCACGGGTAGCTAAACTCTGGCCCTCCAGCTGAGATGAAACTACAAATTAGACAATGCAAGACAGACAGCCACAGGCATGACTTCCAGAGACAAATGCACGATGGGATTTGTAGATTTGCCACAGCTGGGAGACCAAAGTGCGGCTATCCTTGGTCTAAACCTTGTCTTACAAAAGAAAAGTGTGAGCAAGAGCTGGGCCTGGCTTGAGTTTCAGCCAATTTCTGTGAATCAGCTGACATTAAGTCATGGGTGGCCCTGTTGACACCCTCCAGTTCAGCAAACTTCAACTGCAAACAAAATCAAAGGAGGCGGGTGGAAAAAAGTTGACTGAATGGCAACTGCAGCCATTATTTGGGTATTCTGACAGCTGCAGGTACCGGCTGTCAGAAAAAAAAAAAGCCAGCTGTGGAGATTGTGTTTAGAGTGAAAGGGGATTGAATGATTTTTATCCTCTGGCACACTGGGATGAACAAGATAAATCTTTACCTGCATGGCCAGCTAAAGCTACTCTTTGCACAAGGTGACACCGCTGCAGTGATTTCATGGAAGAGCGAACAACGTTGTGACCTGTTGAAACAAGTGGAAAATCAACAGATCTACTGGCAGTATATGCAGGTAATACAACAATGCTACAGGGGAAGTCCGCATAAGGCCTCATTCACACTGGAATCGGCCGGCATGTACAGCTCCATGCTCCGTGCACGGCCGTATCGGGCAGCTCCCGGGAAGGACAGGTGCTGCTCGTGTCCCCGTCCTCTATGGGACTATGCGGCCGTACGCCCCCCCCCCCCTACGCTCACCCGCCCTGCACGTCAGTGAGGGTGAGCGTACTCGTACGCTGACAGGATGGATCCTGTCTGCGTCCGAGCCAGGAAACATGCACCCCTATGGACTTGCACTTGAGGTGAGCATAGGGGGCGTGCGGCCGCGTAGTCCCATAGAGAAGGACGGGGGCTGCGTACTAATCACACGCAGCACCTGTCCTTCCCAGGAGCTGGGCGTGCCGGCCGATTCCAGTGTGAATGAGGCCTAAACCGGCTGTGTTAATGCTATTGATGGACTACAGCATATTTCATTGTTGATTATGCCCACTTTAAAGTAGAACTCCGGGCAGAATTTTTCTTAACCCTTGCATTGGGGCTATCCCAGCTTTGCAAGGGTTAAGTGCTCATTTTTGTCTAGGTGCTAAAAAAAAAAAGGTATAATCACTCCTCAGAGCCGCCTTGTTCTTAGACCAGTCCCTGGAGCCTCTCTCCCTCTGCTGCAGTGGTCTGAAGTCCCATAAATTACATTCTATACAGTGTATAGACAAGAGGATGCTTAGGAACATTCAAATTCTGCAGTGTAGGAGGAGAGAGGCTTCAGTGACTGCAGAAACAGGCAGGCGGCTTGGGTGAGCAATACTTTTTTTCAGCACCTAGACAAAAATGAGACCTTAACCCTTGCAGTGCAGGAGTAGCCCCACTGCAAGGGTTAAGAACACTTTTGCCCGGAGTTGTTCTTTAAGCCCTGACCCTGGAATTAAACCTCCCCCACCTATCATACAACTGTGCAATGAGCCCACCTCAGTTACCAGTAAATAAAGTGAACCCAGGATCAGGGGCTGCCGAGACAGTATCCTGGCCAAAGACTAATAGGAGGTACCTTGTGGTACTTGCTCCTAGCTGGGACTTTTATAAGTAGCAGATGACTGCAATTGCCAGCAACCATACAAAACTAAACATTGGTTCTGGGTGCAGTTGGACATTGATCCCTATTGTGTCCACTTGGTACAAATGTATACATTGGGGGGAATTTATCAAAACAAGCAGACAGAAAATGGAGCAGTTGCCCATGGCAACCAATCGACATCTCTCGCATCTTTTCTCAGCTGAAATTTGAAAATGAGAGAAGCTGATTGGTTGCAGCGCAAATCTGCAGATTTTGTCTGCTCCCGTTTTGATAAATTCCCCCTAGTGTATTTTTCCAAAATGACCATTCGTCAGCATGAAAAGTAGGTTGGTTCATATGTCGTCACATGACTGCGTTTAGTGCTCTCTGAGATGGTAGAAACTACTTTTTATCTATGAATTCTTCCACTACAGCAGAAATAAAGTGCGGAAAGTGTAACCCTCCTTATGTTGAGAGCACTCCTACAAGTTGTTACTTGGAGTGCAGCCAGACGATGGGCATCTGGTGCAGTCCCTGTGCTCTGGAATGCTCTTACAAGTTACTTTCACTATGCTCAGCCTGACATCAAGGTTACTTTATTTGGGATTCCTTGACAAGCAATATGGATTTTCCATCCCCCAAAGGCAGAGAACAGTTTTTTTTGCATGGAGTAGTTCAACATTGAATGTGATAGGACGGCTTGCACCTTGAATAATAACAGACTATATTGTCTGTGAAGGTTCTCATTCATCCAGGCCATAGTATATCTGTAAAAAATAAGTCAAGGCAACTGCACTTGCTGTATTTTTCTTGAAGAAGTTTCACTGGTCATCCAACCAGCTTTCTCAATTCAGAATGACTTGTACAAAAAAATTATCTGGGAAATATGGTGAATGTTGCTCCAATCCACATAATCTGTTAGTGGCAACCAGGTGTTGAGTGCATTTGCATAATTGTAATCTAGTAGGTGTTATTAACCTCCATTTCTACATAAATGGCCTCTTTCACACCTCTTTTAAACCAGTCCTCCTTCCTGTCTAGGATGCGTACTTGACTGCTTTCAAAGGCGTGACCTTTTTTCCTTTAGATGTAGGTATATTGCTGAATCCTGACCAGAGGGTTTGGCAAACTCAGGCAAAGGTCCAATAAGGTGCACACTTGATCTGGGTTGGGCAGAATGGGAACTTAACCCAGATCAAGTGTGCGCCTTATTGGACCTTTGCCTGAGTGTGCCAAACCCTCTGGTCAGGATTCAGCAATATACCTACATCTAAAGGAAAAAGGCCACTCCTTTGAAGACAGTCAAGTATGAATACTAGACAGGGAGGAGGACTGGTTTAAAAGGGTTGTGAAAGAGGCTATTTATGTAAAAATGGAGAAGCCAAGCTTCAATAGAGGGGGTGGGGGTGGGGGGTGAGACATCTATTGTCTGCCACACACAATGCTGTTTTAACACCTCTCTCTGGGCAGGCTAATAACACCTCCTAGACTCCAATCATGCAAATGCAATCAACACCTGGTTGCCACAAACAGATTGTGGATTGGAGCAACATTCCCCATATTTATTCTCATTTTTTTCTACAAGTAATTCTGAATTGAGAAAGCTGGTCGGATGTCCAGTGAAACGTCTTCAATTTTCATCTATGTACTGTATCTAATGTTATTATGCGTCCTTTTTATATCATCATACGTTTATATAGCATAATATATAGAGATATAATATCTTTATCAATTCTGTTATAGGCATGCTGACCAGCAAGAGCTACAAAAAGAAAGGGCCAATGTTGCAAAAAAAAAAATATGGCATTGCATGCAATGGCCGGTTGATGTGTAGGACCAACAGAAGCAGAAGATTGGCCGAGGCAGACCACTTCCTTCTGAAAACCTGAAAAAAAACAATTTTAATACTATACATAACTGACGTTATATACAAAAAGTAGACGGTGGTAATTTAGCTTGCATATCTCCTGCTGCCTTTAATTCTCTTTAATACATATGCACAGCCTGTGTAATGGCACAGAATCAAGATTAATTTATTAAAATGGTCCGTTATTCG